CGGGCATGGTCGCGCCCGGGGCGTCGCTCCACGTCTGGGGGTGGCTGCTGCTTGGCTGCTGCCTCCTCGCGGGGGCCCAGGTAAGATCCGGTGCCCGCGGCACCTGCTAGGACCGCGTTGGGGCGGAGACCGAGGCTCCCGCGGGCTCGCACTTATTCTCTGTCTCTCCGCCTCTGTCTCTCTCACACACAGAACTACACAGACACACGCACACACCCCCGGCAGGGTTTGACAGTCATTAATTGAACTGCAAAGATAGGCTTTTAGGTGAGTGATCTTCTGGGTTGGCACTGTTGAGATCTCAGCATCTGTAAAGTAAGGGGCTATTAACTACCGGGCTTAAGACCAGGAGGGCGGGGCTGGGAAATGAGGGAACTTTTCTTATGCTAAGACTTCTTGGTCTCCGCTTAATTGATTCAAATTATGTTCACCTGCCAGCAATTAACCAACACTTTTGAGAACTTGAACTTACAGGATTGGTGGTGACGTGTCCACTGGCTGAAAGAATAGTTGCCTCACCCCGGTACAGAACCACGTATCATTAAAGCAAAACGACTATATAGAAAAAAATATTGTGTTAAATCAAGCTCTTTTGTGAATGCAATTTTGATATCGTTTAGTGATTTTCTGGGAGAGCTTTCACAATGGAGTGCCTTTGGTGTGTATTACAGCTCATCTGGACCTGTTGTTTTTGAGTCAAATAAAATGTAGGGAGGACACTTAGCTTTTCAAATGCGCTAGTTAGAAGATAGGAGTGGTGGTGTATTTAATGCAGCTGAAGAGCCCTGTGAATTTAAACCGAATCGATGTTAATCCGCTTTTTCGGTAGGGGGCGCACCACGTCTGCCAAATGAAACCCCAAGTTTTGTTTTAATTTCTTTGATTCACCGTGAGAAAATGAAGGCGTTGATTAATGTACTTCTATCTAGACTTAACACCCTGTGCTTAGTTTTCAGATGGCCATTTTAAATTTCAATTATCCTGAAAGTGCATTTGCTTTTTGACCACATAACATGTTTATTAATGGAAGGGCTAGGATACTATACCTAAATTTGCTGTTAAAAAAGTCAAACAATATGTGGGCGATACAAGAAGACTAGCAATGGATACTAGTAGGATATGCACAAACCTGAAAATTTGACTTAACGAAAAGAATAAGAAGAATGAAACTGACCGAAGAATTTGGATCAGCTACATCTCATGGCATGAGGAAGACTCTGTGATCTCCAAAATCTCTACCTTTCTTTCTCATATTTGGATAATAAGCTTAGAAACGTGGCTTTATTTTGTAAGGGACAAACGCATGTTAGTCATTTGTTTTATTCATTGTTTTGGATGACTTTATCTAAAGAAATGGGGGAGATTCTGTTTAGTACAATGAAAAAAATCACCATGGATGGGCTTATGGGCAGATTTTCTTTCACTCTTAGCTCTCAGTAAGACGATCAGAACAACCACTCCTATTTCAAACCACTGTTTCCCAATATCAGTACTATTGATATTTTTGACCAGTTAATTCTTTGTTTGGGGGGCTAGCTTGTACATTGTGGAATATTTACATTGCCCAGCCTTCCTTCCACTATGTCAGAGGCACCCCCAGAGACAACCAAGAATGTTTCCAGATATTGCCAAAAGTCCTTTGGGAGGCAAAATCACCTCAGTTGCTTTAAACTGATTTCCATTTTTATGTTTATAAGTTAAGATTTACAAAAATGATAGTTTATAAAAATAGATTACAATTTTTAGCACTTAAAATCTGAAACTTCAAGTGAGTTATATTCACACACTGACACGTCTTCAGTTTTATCTTTATTCCTAGTTGATACATATATTAAAAAAAATAAAAGCATATTGATAGAACAAGGGGAATCAAAGCATAATTCGGTGGTGTAGAATAAATGTTGAATATTCAGCAAACAATGGATCATACCACAAAAGAGATAGCAGAGACTAGGGTTCATCAATTATTTTAAAGATCTCAGTGGTCTCAATGTTTCAATGCATGAATCCCATGTTTTCATGCATCAAGGCTGAGTCCAGCAATGCATCATCAAAGGTCAGATTATCACATGGTAATGAAGATCATTGTCCAGATATGTGTAATGTTTTCTTTGCTCTGTCAGTGGGTTCTTCTGGAAACAGATTCTGAGCTAGAGTTAGAAGTGCAAAAGGCTTATTGAGGAGTTTATTGTGGGAGTCTGTAAAAAAAAAGTATGAGGAAGCAGGATTGGACAGGGAGAGCTTCAGATCAGGATGCATATCTGACAGTCTTGGCCAACCCATCCCATGAGGAGCTCTGGGCAAAGGCTGCCCATCAGAAGAGTCCCATGTGGTGATGACATGGGTCCTTGTACTCCTGCTGTGTCCAGTCATTGGGAGGGTGGTTTGGAAGATGATAGACGTGGTCTCTAAGCTTGGTCTCTGAGACCAGTATTTGGAGTACTCAGCGAGAGGCCCTTAGCCAGCTTCATTCGTTTACGAATGGCTGGTCCTTTCTGAAAGGACTGTCTTTGTCACTCCCTCACTCCCCCTCCATGGCTGCTTGCTTACAGTTATCAAGAAATAGTGTTGGTTTTGCTGGCATGTGAGTCACTCACCTTTATGCTTAGTGTGGCTCTCCGTGTGTGTGTGCAGGGAAGTGAGTGCAAATCCATTGCCTGGCATCCCAGAAACATGGCAAGTGGAAGCACAGAAGTGCCCACAGTCCGAAGTGTGAGCAGATACCAGCAGGCGGCTGCATTCATTTTCCACCTAGGATAGCACGAGGCCTTCCTGGGCATGACTTGACTTAATCTCCCTGCACAGACTCTGGGTGATGGGAGATCAGCTCCAGTTTCAGAGTCTACTGAAAAAATCAGAAATCTCTTCCTGGGAGGGGAAAGATGATCATCAGTGATGATATATATTTACTTGCCGTGTACCATCTACTATGCAAAGTACAATACTAGTTTCATTTATTTTCACCTCATTATTCTCATAGTAACTTTATGAGATCGATGCTGTAATTGTTCACACTTTATAAATGAGAAAATGAAAAGAGATGTTATATAATATACTCAAGTCACATGGCTGGAAAGCCTATACTCTGTGTCACTTTCCAATTGATTGCAAATTTTGGTGATAATAGATGGAATTCCCACCAAGTCATTGATAGATTTAAGAAGAAGGACATAACTAGGACACAGGCTGCTTCTCCAGATGGTGGGTGACACATAGCCCTTAGCAAAATCAAGCTGAACTGACTGTTGGGTATCACCTGCGTTGCGCTTATGTCCACAAGCATTCTTGCAGTTGGGATGGCTTCACTCATAGCAGGAGTGTAAGGGGTCAGGAAAACAAACAAACAATATATATAGATAGATAGATTGTAATAAAATAAAAGAAACAGCAACTTACAACTATACTCAGAGACATTCTACAGGGGAGCAGAGGGGAACAGGCTCAAAACTGGGGTGGGAAGAGCCCTGGACTTTGGTGATGGCACATGGGAGAAGCAGTGGTGGGAAGTCCATAGGAGTTACAAGTGAGATGAAAAAATTCACAAAATGAAGAATGATGTAAAATGTATTTATAAAATAAGTAAATATAGAAAATCAAATAAAGGTCTTAAGTTTGGTTTGTTCTCCATTTCCTTTGATAGCCAGGATAGTCTCTACTTAGCTGCCTCTTGTTACAGGGAAGCCTTGAGGGCCTCCCTGGTACGTAGGGGTTGAGTCTCAGCACTATCATGCTCTCACTGCTGCAGCCTGACTTCTGTTACCGGTCTCTGGTGATCTTCTCACCCCTTGCATCTCTGGCCTATACCCCAGTTCTTGTATGTGTAGATAAAAATAATCTTAAAAAAAATTACAGGGAAGCCTGGAATCCCTGAGGAGGTGAACTTCTTAGCTTCTGTAGTAAGCGTTGCTTCACTCCAGTGGAAGCAGTGAGATGGAAGGCAGCCAGGCGTGACTTATGCTGGGCAGCGTAGAGGGAAAGTTGCACTTCCCCAGAACATCTTCAGTTCTTTGTAAGTAAAATATTTTCAGCGAATACTCACATGTTCCATTTATTTTCCTGTCTTGAGACGCAATTGCTTTTGTCCTCTTCTAAAGCCAACTTTTTCCTTTCTCTCTGTTTTGATTTTTGCCTTTTCTTTGAGTTATTTTTTAAACCTTTTAGCTGCACTGTGATTTTAGGCAGTTCATTTCACCTCTGTGAATATTTTTCCACTGCTCAGATGGGGCAATATGACATTTACCTCATATGAGAGTATAAATGTAAAAGTGCGTGAGCAAACAAAGTCTTATAATGTTTGAAATGAAAATGCCAGCGCTTTTGTCTTCTATTAGCAATTAGTAAAGGGTTTTAAATGGCATGATTATTATGTTGAGATTATGGTAGTTCTCCCTCATCTGGAGGTTCACTTTCTGTGGTTTCAGTCTCCTGTGGGCAGCTGTGGCCTGAACATATTATGTACAATAATTCTTCGAGAGAGAATGAGAGACTGTCTTCCCATAACTTTTATTATAGTCTATTTTTACAATTATTCTATTTTATGTTTAGTGATGGTTGTTACTATCTTACTGCATATAATTTTTAGTGGAAAAACAATATATGTAGGGTTTGGTGCTATGCATTGTTTTAGGCATCTGCTGGGGGTCATGGATTCAATCCTCTGACGATAAAGATGATCACTATCTTTCAAAATCGGATTGGGAGCCTCTGAATGCTTTCCTGTGGGGTGAGTGTATGTGTGCGTGTGTGTAATTTTGAAGGCATTTCCTCTGACTGAAACACCTTCCTGCAAATGGTTTGTCATTCAGAAACCAACTCCATTCTGACAGCTGTTGGACATTTTGTTTACTGATGGGTGTTTTAAATTTGCATTAATTTAAGTACTTGATTACTATCTTCTCCTTTAAAGAATTCATTCCGAAGGCAGCTAATCAGAAGGCAGGTGCAGCAGTCCTGATTATCACAGGTGGAGCTGCAAGGACACAGATTCAGGAGGCAGAAGCTGCATTTAGGTGAAGGAAGAGTGATATGTGCAGGTATAATAAGGTAAATTTTTAGATAAGCCAAGCCTCTGGAAATTACA